ATACCTCTCTGGCGATAAAAAGATTTTTTTTTACGAATAAAATTCCCAGGAGGCTTCATTAGGCGCAGCATTTTCATTGTGAAATTCTATTCCCCTTCTACCCATACGTGAATGAAACTATGAAACATTAAAATATAAATCAGAAGGCTAGAATTTAATTCACGCTAGTCCATCAGCCAATTATGTATGGAAATAATTAGTCATAAAAGAAATAATCTTAGTATCATGGTTGTTCAACCTTTACGATACTACCCTTATTATTAGTTTTTTTCACATTATTTTTACATCGTCAAATTTGAATCAATTTAAAGCTGAAACTGAAACCAATCACAAATAGAACACACAATCTATAGAGGCAGCATAGTCCTAGAGAGTCCTAGAAAGTTTATAGAGCATCTACAGTCATAAGCACCAAATTTCAGTCAAATTGGTTGAAAATTCACATCAACAAGCTGAAAAAATCTCTAAAAGCCAACCTTACAAAGATTTGCTTCAACTTGCTCTTGTTTCGTGAAATTTCAACCTATTTGACTGAAACTGGGTACCTACGAATTTCAATCGTAAAGATTCTCAGAAAGCGATTCAATGTCTAGTAAGCAAGCAGAAATTCTGTATATAATTGATTAATTACCTTTCAAAAATGCGACAGTTGCTCTTAAAAAATAGGCCTATAATATATAAAAAAAAATGATCATGAAGAATTAAAAAGTTCCAAGAAAAATTGGCAGAATGTCAATAAAATCGCCACAAAAAGGAATGAACATTAGTTAATAGATTTTGCAGATTTCATTGGCATATTATCAATTTTTTGTTGAAAACTTTATATTTATTCTGTTATATTTTACATTTTTATCGGCATTGCTAAATTCTTCAGTGGGGATGTAATAAAGCAAAAGAAAGATTCTTTATTGGAAATTCGTCAATTATCACATTCTAGATTTTTATAGGCAACACAATTCTTTTTTAATTTCTCGTACACCTAGCAGATGAGAACGAGAGTATCGATCTGCTTTTAAAAGATAAAACATAATCTTATTCAACTTTTTAATCCCTGTTCTTAACAGATCGCAATAAAAGTAAATCTGCACATTTAAAAAAAAAATCCTGTGGAGAATCGTCCAATAATGACCGTCGGTGACATTGTTCATCAGACATAGAATTGTATCATACAGCTTGAAGACGCTAGAAAGTTAATTTCCTCATAAATAAAGCATAAACAACACTGCGTTACACATATATTGCGCAGATCTTGACATTTTGTAAAAGATCTCAGCCTTACCTCAAGGTTGATTAAGGCCAAATGGGCCAAAAAACCAAAGCTTTTCGTTCCCTATCTTACAACATTCACATTTTAGCAAGAAAAACAATTTGTCATGGAAATGGTTGATTGAAATTGATATCTCATTTTACTAATATTAAATAAATGTCCTTATGGGGGGTGACAAAGAGCCAAAACATAAATTAGGTTGAAATATCTGGTCTATCCACATAAAAGTGTCTTCAAACTTTTGTTTGCCTATGGTGAATTTTAAAAACGTTTTTTGGTACTGTTTATGACACTTAACTTCACAGCATTATTGAAATAAAACAGCTTTACTCAAGGAGTTCCAGAAACATATTCTAGTAATTATTTTCTGTATATTCAAAATATTTGCATCAATAGACATTTTTAAAAAATTTTCCCGATGTCACATTCTACGCTATTAAAATTGAGTTTTATTATTGGAGGTCTTAGTTTCATGGTGTGGGCCACCCTTTCGCGTAGAGGAAAAACGATAATCATTAAACACAGAGATTGAGAGCTGCAAGATAAGCGACGCATCACTCAAGCTGCTTTTTGCAGAGCTGAGAATGAACAATATTTTCATCTCTAATTTTTCAACGATTATTCATTTTCCTACATGAAAATATCGCTCTCTCAAAATCGGAATAGTCCTTCAACTTATACTAGTTCCTTAGTATCAAACTCAAGCTGTGCATATAAAAATTTCCATCCATAAAAGGTGTTTTAGTTATTTAAAATCAAGACATCTAATATAATGCCTAGTAGTACAGATCACTCATTGGTCGAGTGTCTGCCTAAGTAACCTTCAAGCCCACTAGCTGCCCGATAATCGGTTTACCAAACTTTATATTAGTCTATATCAGTCTTATATATCAAAAAAAATCTATTAGCGGGCTTGTTGGTTTATTGGGTACTACAATCAATACTCATGCTTTGGGTTTGATATTTAAAAACAAAAGATTGAAAATTAATGAAAAAATAGGTGCTCTGAGAATGGCATATACGAGCGTCAATTTTGATATAAAATTTATAATAGACGCGCAATTCAGCTCAATCAAACCTACTTTTCGTCGAGTAACGAACCTTTCAGTCTCGGAGCATTTAATTGTGCATGAAAGTATTGGTTTACGTCTCATCTTTTATGGCAAAGATGGATTCCGTCTCGTGTAAAATTAGTTATATCTAAGGATGCTACCCCGTTCCGCTGAATACGGGCCATAAGACCAGACACATCAAAACACATGAAAATTCGAAAACAAGATCAACGGTGTCCATATTGAGTGCTCAAGACCTCGTTGGCCATACCCGTAAATGTTCCGAGAATCCCTGGGGATGTTACCAGTTTCTGACATGGACCAAAACCACCTAAAATCACCTGTTTATCATATCGAGTACCCAAGACCACTTTAGCAACATCTGGACATGTTCTGGGTATTTCCGGGTGGAGCCGTAGTGGATGGAAAGCCATGAAGATTACACCCCTCTTCAAAACGATTGATATGATGAGTCAAATAATACATACAGCCATACAATTTGCCGTTTCGATGCTAGGATAACTTTTTTCAAGTCGGTGCCGCCGGGATGTTCTGAGGCAAAACATCTCTGATCACGCCTTACAAAGTAAAGCCGTTGGTCCCTGGTTCATGAGTTGGTGGGTAGTCCAGGTTTGGTAGCTGCCTCCCTGGCGTCGGTAGCATTAGTACTCAGCACGGAAAACAAGATCGACGGAAAATAAATCAAGGAAAAACAACTCATGTAAATTTTCAAGGATAGAGCTCAAAATGTCTAAAAGAGTCGAAGAGCTCAGATCATTCATTCATTCATCTGTGTTCAAGATCCACTATATCATTATCAGAAAAAAAAAACTTAAACCCGAATTCTATCAATTCTTCAATTGATACATGGTCATAGATGTCAGTAAGTTTCCTGTAAAAAAAAAATCCGAAGCATTATCCACCACGATACGATTGCTTCTATATGCTGTTCCATCTGTTATAAAATGTTGTCATATACAGAGTTTACTTCCTGTTGAAAACTATCTTCAGTCGATAGGGGAGCTCGATCATTTTCGTTTTTCGCTGTTTTTGAGTTATTGTCGACGACGACGTTCAATGGATTTTTCTTTTACTTGAAGTGTAGGATTACATTGGTAAAATCTGGACATGTTCCGGACACCACGCAGAAGTGACTAATTGCAGATTTAGACCAAAACCCATCATGTGACACCTCAAAACCATGTTCAATGTTAGTCATATCGAGTGCCCAGGACCAGGAGCACATTGCCCCATGTTCCGCGTAGTTTCCAGTTTCTGAATTGGGTCAAAACCCATCATACGGCACATTAAATCTCAGAACTACAGAATAAGATCATTGGCGTTCCATATCAGTCACGGACATGTTACAGTTACCTTTGGGGAAGCCAAAACCTGATTTGCCATACATTTTCAAATGACGCTTCAAATTCACATGAGAATTTAAAATAAACCTTTCTGGCGATTATATGTTGTGCCAACATAAGCCATACCTGGCCATGTCTGAAATGTGTTAAAACTTATCTTCCAATGCATCATACCACCTGAAAGCTCAATTAGCGAGAATACAATGGCCACACAAGCTCCGGGTACCACCAGGAAAGTTGCCAAGTCACATCAAATTTTGAATACATGATCATTTGTGCTGGGCATATTGCGATTACTCCCTGTCCAAAATCTGCAATGATTCAAAATGTATCGCATGACAATTTAAACACAGACCCACATGTCATTCGGAAATTATCTTACTAATCTTCCCTTATGATTATATGATTTTGTGGAAATTTAAATGAGATAGAAGGGTTAAATCTCACCATAGTGGATAAATTCAGGTTTGTTAAACACCTTTTTAGTTTCTTTTGCTCATAAAAAGGGTTTTTAACGTTAAAAGTTGTTTTCCGTGCCAAAATGTAAACAAAAATTATGCTAAAGTTATCATTTCTGAGATATTATTATAGGTTGACGTTTTATGATTTTTGCCAGTTTTAAAATGACTAATTTGAAAATCTTCAAAAATTCAGACATTTGAATAATTTGGAGAAATTATTTATCATTCGATTTTTTTTTATATTTAAGTTTATAACACTCTTTTAATATTTCCATCAAAATTTCTCAACACATTTACAGCAGAGATCATTTCTTGATATCTTTTGTTTCCCATTAACTTTCTCTCAAACGAAAAATATCAAATATGGCTTTTTGAAAAGTGACGTGAGAGTCAAAATGGCTCAAGTAAAAATTTAAATTATTATCCTTAGCGAGTAATAATGCTAAGTTTCATGGAAATTTTTTATTTTTATTTTGAATTTTGGCCTGGAAATGCACCAACACAAATTACTGTTTCTTCAATGCTTTGTCAGTACCGTGGGGTCACTATGACCCCAGACAAATTTCGCAATCTTGATTATTGAACAAAACAATTTTCTTCTTGTTCGTCGTCTTATTTGAAGCATACACATTTAGAAGAACTGTTTTTGATGATTTGTTTGATGAATAAAGGTTAATAAATGATCATTAAATAGATACATAAATAAATAAATAAACAAAATACCTTTTTCTTAGAACCATATAAGACCGAAGGCAAAATCATTTCAAATTATAATGTGTATATTTATCTTACGCGGTATTTTGTAACATGTGTTCCCACATACATTATTCAAAAAAAAAATCCCCATGTCCCTGATGGCTTTTACCCGTAAATAAGATTAAATATGGTATTTCAGTAGAAAAAAATCATCGTATGAATTATAAGTCAGAAACTAAAATTGAAACTGATACAATATGCATTGCTTTAACATGTTTGATTTGTTTTGATAGGTCGCATTGAAACAACACCTTTATTGTGTAGAGTAAACTAACATTATTGAACTTTATTATAAATATTGAATCATGGCTTTTCGATACATCACACTTAAAATTGGAAACAGTAGAGGTTTTCGGCAGAATCTAAAACAATTGCTGTGATAAGTTTTACGTGCTCAGATGAACGCTCTGCAGTTAGATTTGAAATGTTTGATTGTATCTATATGCTTTCATACTCGTCCAAAGTTATTGGTTTCTATAGCTTTATATTTACAATAGATCCTAAAACTGTAAGATTCAAAACATTGTATGTGCACATTAATTTGAACTTTTACATATAATATACACTAAAGCTTATTTTCACTAGTTTCAGTATATTCTTAATCACTTACTAGATAACATCATTTAAATGAAAATGGAAGACTTTATCTTTTCGCATGGTTGTGTCTTGTAATTTTTAATAATATTGATACAGCATTGTACGCTCCATACTAGTAAATATCTGATAATCTTATTAATTGTTATCCGTCATTGAACGAAATTGCACATTTCCGTGCAGTATAATATGGTAATTGAATATTTTGCATGAATCTCTCTCAATGGCGCCGAAAGTTATCCAGATCCAGCACGCATCGGTTTGATATGTCGCTAGCGATTTTTCTTTTCTTCAATGAGTGTGATCAGGATTAATTTGGCCACGATTGCAAGCACCTCGTGGATGCTTATCATGAATTAACGACAGCTTAAGCCATGGTTCCGTATTGGAATTTTTTAACCTTGAAGTATCTGCGGAAAAAAGTGTGAATTCCAGGATTTTTATGTGCATGTACATGTTCATTACCTCCACAGTCCATAACCAACTACTGTGCATACAGTTGCAACTGCCAGTGTAGATCCAACTGCAATTGGAGCTGTCTCGTCTCGATATGTGCCAGTCGCGCTACATTGGAATGTTGGTCCCCATGTGTTTGATGATTTATACATAAAGCTTTGCATTCTTAGCTCGCGTAGGTACAGTTTAGCCAGATGACCAGATTTATCGTTTTCATCCTGATAGAATAGTTAAAATTTCATTACATGTCCTAACATTACTTTCAAGAAAATCATAGCATACCTGCGCGAACATCGTGATGATCACTTCCTGATCACATGTGTATGATTTTCCTACGGGAGTTGGAAAGAGCAATGTCCCAGGAGGAGTGGATAGCTTGACATCCAGCCCAGGTCGATCGATATGCTCGAAAATTTGGTTCGATGATGTGTAAAAGAGCTCCACATTATTAACATACCACCTTTCTCCTCCAGGAGTCTGTATTGGTAAGAATGCTTTGTTCATTATATAGAACATTTGAACGTACTCAATAACTTTACCTTTGAGAAATACATATTAAGGGTGAAACCTTTCCACCCCAATGTTATCTTTGATTCATCTTCAAAGCATTCACCAGAAATATCCATTTGATCCGGCATGAATGTGTCTGCTTCCTGAAAATTTCCCATCAGCATTATAAGAACTGCATATTTCACTAAGTACTATACCTTATCCTCTCCATACTTGTCCCGATACTGTATGCTCAGGAGCCCATCAGTTTGCATTAAAATGCAAGTTGCTCCACTGGTCCCGTTAAGTCGGTAGAGAGACAACGAAGAAGGGACTGCTGTAGCCTACAATGTTAAGCATGAATCAATGAAAAAAAATATCATGAAAGGGTGGATTGAAATCAGAGAATGAAACAACAAAGGAAAAATCGATACACCGTTTTATAATTCATTTATCGCACAAAAAAAAATGCTTCAACATTTACGTGAGACTGCACAATTAAATACTTACTGATGAAGATGTTGGTTTCATGGTGTATTTTGTAATTCTGGGTTTTTTAGTAGAAAGTCCCTCAAGTTGAAGGGCTGAAGAAAATTTTATGCCTGTACAAAATAGAATCACAAGTTGCATCACAGTCACAGTCAACGTGTCTCGGAGCAAAGAAAATTACAATCGTCGTGTACTGTACCTATTAAAAATGTTAACAAAAGCACCAACTCCGGTAGGTTGTACATTTTGAACAAATTCATGATTTAAATTTAAAAGCCTGAGAATCAGACACACTAAAATTGCAAAATCGCTGCTGTCGCCTGAGAACACAATCCTTGAATGAAAATTTTCCTCCCTATGGGTTGGATTTCCTTCCACTGTCGTTGTGCTTGTATCCTTTGCTTGCGTTTCCTTTGCTGTCATTTCACCCACACACGAAACTTGCGCATTGTCAGGGTGAAGTGTTCAATTGGTGCCACGTGTCAGTCAGCAAGGATAAACCCTGTGCCAATAAATCATAGCAACCCTCTCTGACTACTAATCTATGGTATAGTAAATTTCACATATTTAACTCCATCGACTGTATAATTGTTGATATGTTATTCCACTTACTACTCGGAGCAATATGTATGAAGACCCATAAACTTTCGCAACGCTGTATGAATGTATATTTATACATATTTAACATCGCTTCATCAAACTCAATTCGTTTCATGTTCTAATCGTATTCATGTTATACCCCGTTCACATTACAGCGTATATCACGTAATATAGGCTGTCTTGCAATGAACACTCATACAGGATTTCCAGAGAAAACTAGATGTATGAGTGCTCATTGCAAGACAGCGTATATCACGTGATATACGCTGTAATGTAAACGGGGTATAACGTGTTAGTGAGTATTCATAAAGCTGTTATCAAAGCATTTCGAAAGCAATCGTAAAACATTTCAATGTGAAGTACTGATGGGAGGTTTTGTTATCTGTGCCGGTCCAGCTATAAATCAATTTATTATCAACTACAAATTTTTTACAGTGGCGCCGGTGTGTAGTGGTAAGCGTGATTAGGTCTCACCCCAACAGGCCTGGGTTTAATCCCAGTCGACGCCACCGGGATGTTCTGAGGCATAACATCTCTGATCACACCTTCCTTCGGAAGGGAAATAAAGCTGTTGGTCTTCGGTTCATGAGTTGATGGGTCGATATATAGGGTCAAGGTGTGGGAGATGCCTCCCTGGCGTCGGTAGCATTGGTGCTCAGTACGAAAAACAAGATCGACGGAAAACAAATCAAGGAAAAAAAAAATCAAATTTTGGACATTCTGTGAATCTGAAATCGAGCTATTCAAATTTCGAACGTTAGAGGTTTCCTTGTAGGGTCCTTTTTCTTTTCACACTTTGAAATTCAAGACATCAAATATTAAAAATTACGAGGTTTGTAAATCTTCACATTTCGGGCATTGCTTGCTTCTCGACAGCAAACAACAAATAGGGTAAATGTTGGCTTCGGCACCCATTGACTGTTTTCGGCAACCAAAATTTAAACGTTAATTTCACTATGTTTTCCCATGAACGCACTTCCCTGAATGTGTCCAAACGATTGTTTAGCCTTTCAGCTTCAATCTGATTATATTTGAACGATCGAGCAATCCAGTAATGCTACATTTTTCTTCAAATAAAGCATACGCACTACAAAATAGGGTTGATTTCGAGTTGCCGATAATAGAACAGCTGGTTAACACGCAGTTCTAATGGGAAGGTTGCCGAAGAAAAAGAGACTGCCGACAATAGTCACACTCACCTGAGAAGTTTGGAGCGTTGTAAAAACGCTTTCAAAACGTTTTGAAAAATTCTGTCGGTTGGAATGGATAGAGAAGCAAGCAGCAGATGAATGTAAACAAACAGACACATCATATATGTGCGTGACGCTGAGATAATGCTAGTAGAAGTACAGACGCTGCTTAGATTGACGAGAATACGTAAATTCCCCTAGTCATTACGTGGTTTCACAAAAACCTTAATATTATGGCTGGTGAAATTGCTTGAATTATGAAACGTACGTGGAAATGGACCCTACAGTGAATGACAAATGATTGTACGCCAGCCATAACTGTGAAAGGCGAACGTCTTCCGGAAATGTACTATGCAATTCTGTTCTAATTTTATTTTGATGGCAAAAGAAAGAGTGCTTCAATGTGTTTTTCATTAGGATTAATGAATATGATGCGGTTTGGACACAGCTGACCATAGCATGCTATGAAAAATGTACTAGGACCGTCCATATACAGTAGTGCCATAAAAAAGTGGAGTTTTACTAGTTTAGGTACACTAGATACATTAAATGAATTTGAGTCTTTCAGAGACGATAGTTTCTGAAGGATATAAATCGTCCTCTAATCTATGCGAGCTCTTCGAAATCACCGTGAAGTCATGGATTCCTTTGCAACATATCGGGTGAGATCTTTCCTTTATTGTTCTCTTAACATTCATTCCATTATTATATGACACATTATATGCTGGGTATAGGAGGGTCCAACCAGGGCACCCGATTGAAGCGATTTGGATGGGGAGAGTGGAATTGCCAACTTCCTGTCCTTAACAGATCGTGAATTGAAGGCGAGCTTTTCTTCCCCAGTCATTGGGACATCCCCTCGTGCGATAGCTTGTAACCGGGTTGTAGGATTTTATTGTTGGAAGGAGATTTTCTTTGATCCCGCGGACTAAGCGTAAGTGTCTCTGCTTACAGGTTCGCCCTCCGTTTTTGGCTCTTCATACAATGGTAAATTGAATACAGTCAGGTGTTGTACTTGATCAAGTCGTACGAGGTGGACAGTCCACTGTCTAATGGTTGTGCCTGGTTTTCTTTACATACATACATACATACATACATACATACATACATACATACATACATACATACATACATACATACATACATACATACATACATACTAGATACATTAAATGAATTGTATTACTCACGTGGCAAAATCAAGGTGTGTTCGCCTACTACAAAGATACATGGATGAATATATATTTATATATATTGATAATAACTACAGTGTCTTCCCGTTTTTGGAAACAAGACCTTATTACTCATTTTTGTCTCCAGCTTAAACCAATACTGGATGAATTTTAATACAGTAGAAAATTGTACTCGTCACTAAGCGATTCGTTTGCTGATCACAAACCGGAAGTCGCCATCATGGATTCCAAAATGGTAGGAATCATCGATTTTCGGCCTCGATTCCCGTATCGAAAATATGTACTCGAAGTACTGTGTAAAAGAAGACTTGAATGCAGTTGAGTGTTTTCTTGGCCGCGCTATTCAAACGCGTACACCGACCATGAGGCAGTAAATATAGTGGGTCTCACTAGTGCATGCCACCTGTTACAGGCTGCAACCACTCCCAGGATAAGAGATGTTAAGAATGCCATCAAACAGCTAAACAACATAAATGCAGCTGTAAATTGGAACCGAACTTAACAAAACTGAGCTCGGAGAAGTTGGGTAATATATCTGCACCGATTTACCGTTGGATTTTTTTCAGCTACAGGAGAAATGGAAAATGCTCTAAGTACCAGAAAGCTAGGACCTTCAAGCACTCGAAGTATTCGAACCACATATAGTTAGGGCCATGCCTGGTGGGGAACATAAAAATGGTATGTCCGACTTCGCCAACTCTACGGTTTACCCAGTACGAAGAAAGCTGAAAAAGCTGCAAGTTAACACCAGCAGAACGGGCAAAGGCAACAAATAGTGTTTGTTATTAATTCGGTTTGTACAAAAAGGCGAGGACCCCGGCGAGGTGGGCAACCCAATAACATGATCTGGAAAGCGTGGGGCTTGACCGAGGATCGAGACAATCAGACATAAATCGAGCCAATTGGCGTAGAACTGTTGACGATGTTTTAAGAAAGTAATTTGATATGGACCGCTAAAATAAAATAAAAAGACACAAAAATACATATATTGTATGAAAATAATTTTACTCCACATAACTGTTATGAACAATCTTAAGTTTTAAATGATTCATGTATAAAATGTTAGCTAATGATAAATTACAATGAAACAAATTAAATTTGTTAATTTTATGCTACATAAAACACATTTTCTTCATGAACGCTTTAACGGAAGGCTATGATGCTACAGTTTCAAATAAATCTTACTCAACTACGTTGTAACTAATTCAGTTCGTTTTATGTTTATATATGATTAACTTTTTTGTTTATGTTGCGGTTTTTGGATTGTGTTAAATAACTCTTTTGCATGAATTAAGGTAGACAACCGAAATAAAAGTTAATTTGATTATAACAACAAATTCCAAACGGAGTGGAAAATAACATGAAGGTATTTAATACGTCAATCTAATCACATCAGACAAAGTCCATCGTAACAAAGAAAATACAATCATTTTAAGCCTAGCTCGTTCGGAGATGGTACGTTATACAGCGGAACATTAACCAAGTTAGTGTAGATCTCAACAGTTATGAAAAATTACGCTTCCATTGAGTCCTTTTTGTCATTCAAAAATAATTCTAGGTAGAGAGACTGATAAAATAGTTCTTGAATTTCGCTTAAAGCACACGAGTCGACAACCAAACAGTACAATTTACTAGAATAATAGATTGCAATAATTGTTTAATAATTGTGTTAGTAAAAATTAAGCAAAAAATATTGATTAATTTACGATACCTTGCACGATATTCTAACAATAAAATAGGTATACCTTTACATATAAACTCGAGTTTATGTGAATGTATTGCAAGCTGCGATCCAATAATTCTAGTTTTTAATCCAAAATCGGTCGTTGTCGCCTTTTGTATTATGCATATAACTGCTACTTTCGGAAGGATTATAAGCTGCTTTTCATATAAAGCTGAAAGGATCGGATTGGGTTGAATATTTCACCATAATATACTAAATTTGATGCATGATCAAACGATACACGGTAAATCATCAAAGTGTGGCGTTATGACCAGTACAGTAAATTGCATATAAAATGGTGATTTAAGGTGTTTTAACCCTAGCTTGTCCACAGTGCAGTCATGAAAATGTGCCCAAAATAATTGTTCAAACAAAATAAGCTTATTCTTGTAGGAAACAGACTCGAAAATGTGCTCGCATGTGCGTGTGTGTTTGAATGTATAAGGTTGAGCAAGATGGTTCATCTACTTGATTTATTATTTTTTAATAATTATCAACATCTACAGGATCCAATGCTGGTTGATTATTTTTTTTTCCTTGATTTGTTTTCCGTCGATCTTGTTTTCCGTGCTGAGCACCAATGCTACCTAGAGGGGCAGGGAGGCAGCTCCCACACCTGAACCGGGACTAACGGCTTTACTTTACTTTCCGAAGGAAGGCGTGATCAGAACATTCCGGCGACGCCGACTGGTATTAAACCCAGGCCTGCTAGGGTGAGAGGTAATCACGTTTACCACTACACCACCGCCACCGCTGAAATTGATTGATTATGACAAACACATTAATCAATAAATGTACTAGCTGACCCATCTTGCCCCACCTTACCCTATGTATGTGTGTGTGCATTGGTTAGATGCCAAATCAAAGTAGAAGTCAATTTGCTTATAAAAAATAAAAAAGAAGCCAATTAAAATAAAAGAAAATAAAAAAATAAATAAAATAAAATTATAATATAAAAATTTAGGCCTTTTAACATTTAGACAGAATAAGAAACCAGTTCTCATATCCTGTTCTAGACTTTAACATGCTTTTACATTATTTCAGGCACATTTTTTTGCAAATCTACACTTTTTGTGTCAATAATGGTGGTACAAGTTAAATTATGCTCTCGTGGAAACTTATAAACCAAAAATCACACTTAAAAGAATCTTAGTTATTGTATTCATCGTCGAAATCATCGCTCGATTCGGTTGACGTTAGCGTCCAGCGGTTACTCGGTTGACTGCTGCTGCTGTTGTTATCTGGATGATCGAGAATCCCTTTTATGTTTGCATTGGTGTTGTTGTTTATATTGCTGAAATACAAGCGACTTGTTCCAACTCCAACACCACTGTGACAAGATTGAGACCTCAATACGGAGCTGTTAAAATAAAAATCATTCAAAGTACTTAGCTATTATCTAGAATAATATTTTATTTCATAAACACAAATCATCAATACTTCATCATTAAACACACTGTACAGCCACAGACAAACAGACATAACACATTGAGTATTTCTCACTGTAAAACATCGTCGTTAAAACATTACCGCCATCTGTTGAGTACACTGTGGTGGGCACTACGCTGAACAGATGGCGGTAGTGTTTAAACGTCAGACGCAAGGGGATTGACTATGCGCGCCACTAGTGGCAGTACTACCAACTACGATGCTTTTAAATTGTCCGTTAAATGCTTGTTCGATGAACAACTTGCGAGTGTTATGTCTGTTTGTCTGTGGTACAGCTATTACTTAATTTTTCGTCATTAACATAAAAAATAGTTAGCGAAATTGTCATTTTTTTAAAAAATAGTATGAAACGAGACAAGGATATCCACAGGGGGGAAAATCACTAGTGCTTTTCCATTTAAGATTACACTTAAATATAATTGTCGATTTGAAATACCGTTCTTGCAGCAATATTCGTAAAACAAAATTTCAAAAAAATTAATTTTATTTTCCAGACATCGCTTGCAGGAGGATGTCAATTAGGGTTATAATTATCGATTGAAATCAAACTTCGATGAAAATTTACCTTTAATAAGCCTAATCAGAAAAAAAACAGGCATCTCCTGAACAATATTTTTTAACGATTTTGACGCTTACGTCACATTGGTGTCACACGGCAGAAAGAGGACACACAGGATGCTTTCCGACACGTTCTACGTTATGTTGCAACGGTTTTCACTAGAAAGGGTCTAGTGTAAGAGAGGAGCGGATTCAAAACAAATTGCCTTGGCAACCTATGCCTAGGTGGCTTCCAGCAACACTGCCAGTGCAATCAAGATAGGCGCTGCTCGGTTGGGTCTGGCTTTGACAGTTCGTTTGGTTCAAAACCAGTGAGTCCGCTCCTCTCATATACTAGACCCTCTTTTTTTTTTGACAGTTTATATTATTGCAGATTTGGCAAATACATTAAATTCCACATAATAATTGAACAAAAGTTTCAGATTTGAAAACGTTTTGGTGTATAGTTGTTTAGTAGTGTAGGTGTTTAGTAGTGTAGTTGAGAAGTGCAAAAAGTCACGTAACATAGTCGCTCGCCAAATAATTTTGAGCTACTCAAATTATTAACTCATGATCAATTCTCATATTAAATCATATGACTTTCCAAATCTGCAATAATATTTTAGGGTTAGTTTGATTTTTTTTCAGTTTCAGTACAAAAACTGTCAAAATATCAGGTGAATACATCCTGGTGGTATATGTCATCATCATAATTCATAATGTCATATCGAGGAAACCTTCAACCTTCAAAAAGTGGCACTTGGTAAAGTGGCAAATATAACTGTATCATTGAAGCAGCTGCTTAGGTAAAAAATCGGTCATTCACAAAAGACTGAAAAAATGTAGCCTATAAGGCAGTACTTCTTAAATTTAATTTATTCTACAGAAAATAATTGTTTCTTATATTTTTTTCATTTTAAAACTGTTCATTATTTATCCTTCATAAAGCCTCAAGAGAACAGAATATTCATACCGGTTGTTTACAAGAGCGATCATATCACCCCGTTAGGGTGCTCATTTTAACCCAATGGTTCTATTTCGGTTACAAAACGAACATTTTTTTAAATCTTCTTTCCTAAGATTCAAACGTTTACTTTAATATTGAATTTGTGTTCATGATGTAAATAGAGCTTGAAACTATCCATTTGTTTGAAAATCATTTGTTGACTGATTTTGGTATCATTAGTTATGACATTCTTACGATGGCAAAACTGCCCCACTTTTCCCGTATCGGTCAAAAATAAACTTTAAAATGAAGAAATGAAAGGAAATTACTCAACCCACTCCAAAATCTATTTTTCTACAAATGGGAAAAAAGTTAAGTATAGATTTCTTCTTTATGGCTTTGTGGTTATTCTTACTTGTGGCCCTGAGAAGAGTAAACTTCACTAGCTACAGTGATCGGATGAAAAGATTGTTGATGCGAGAAGGCTCGACAAAGGGAATTGTATTTGACCCGGCAGAGTGAAAGATTAGCGAGAAGCTGGCTCTCAAGGTTGTTGCGACAAAGCTGGCAGTGCTCAGCTTTCTCGAATCAACTATCTTTTCTTCTGATCACTAAAGTTAGAGAAGTGTACAAGAGGTTCGTCATATCCGTGGCACACTAATCGGGTAGTTTCCCGATGTTGCAACGGTGGTATACCTTCGTTAGAACGATAAGACTATCTAGACGGTATAGGCAAAAGTTGGCAGTTTGGAAAAAAAATCCGATGCGTGCCAAAATATTAAAACTAAAGCTCCAACCGGTATTATCCTCGGATTAAATTCCAACCACGAATATCGGGTTGCTTTGATACCGATTTCGGTATTAATCAATACGATCCTAAACAAACATTTGATACATCCTCAGGGCCGGTATTAAAAGATAATCCTAGTTGGAGTTGATATTTATTCAAACTTCAGTTAAAATATAAGCCAGTGTAGCTTTTCTTAAAATTTGTCTGGTTAATATACACTAAAGCAGTGGTTCAAAGCGTGCAATGCAAGCAAAGTGAGGTGAAGTATAGATAATGGAGGGTAAACCTTACAATATAATCCGGGAAGGATCTCAAATGGTTTTTTTTTTCAAATTATTTACAAAGTTTTACAAGCGTTTGAACAAGTGTTGATGATTTGGAAAATGTGTAAAACCGTAGGCAGTGAAGCACATAAAAACGAGCAAACCTTTCACACGATTTACTTGTTCGTTCTGCTTGGTTTTGAACTTGGCGGCGAGCTTCTTCTTGCTTTTTTTTGCCCTCCATAGCAGCCTTCATTGGATCATAGCTAGCCCGTCTGCGCCACATCTCCAGTTCTTGCTCCTTTACTACTTTTTGATCTGCAAAATTAAGAGTGAAATTTGTTGAATACATTGGATCATATTTATTTCTTACTTTCTCTTTTACTAGTTGGTGTTGGCTTAGCTCCTGCTGATTTAATACTTCTAGTACTCATTCTGTTTGGCTCGGCTCTATTCATAGCGACTGAAGCACTACTTGGACTCTTTTTCACTTCCGATTTGAGCAGATAACTCTTAGATTCATCTTTCTTTAAAAAGCTTCCCGCAGATGGATTCTTATATTTTGATATATCCAAGTATTTTGGTTGTACTTTTTGCTTGCCACCAGCGCTACCTGTTGATTCCTTTGGCATCGAGTCTCTGCCCATTGATTTTCGCGAATTATTTAAGTCTTGTTTCATTCGATTTAGACTCGAATCACGTGGCATTGATGCTCGATCACGAGTACTGCCTCTAACCTGAAGTGTTCTGCGAGGTAATTCAGGAGTATTCGGACAAGCTGCCACACCTTGCTTAAGACCTGCAGCAAGCTTTTTGTTTTGTTCCATTCGCATAAGGAAGGTTTTGTTATATTTTGTGTTGGTTATTGGTTCCTTTTCAGTTTCACCACCTTCATCATCCTTATCACTGATTTCCGAACTAGATGAATATTCTGGATCTAGCTCTAGGTCATCATCATCATTTATATAAAAGTCATCGTCCTCGTCATTATAATTGGCAACGATCTTCTTGAAACTAGTGCTACTGGCAGATTTCTGAATCCTTGTGCCTCCTGTTGCTGCTTTGGATCCAAACTTAGGCGTAAGTGTTGGCGTGGTTGGTTTCATTGCCTTTACTGAAAATGAGCTTGATCGTTTTATAGGTGAAGACATTTGAGTTGGCACCGGTTTGGGATTGTATATCTTATTTGCAGTGCTTCCTGTTGCTCTCGCTTGTGCACCGTTGGGTTTTGCACTTGTTGATGACGATGATTGCTGTTTAATCAATACTCCACCTTGTTTCTTAGTGCCCAAGGTCATATCCTTTACAGCAGAAGTAATCACAATCAGTTTCTCATCGTCATCTTCATCGACGGTTTCGTGACCTGAAATGTCTTCATTTTGACCCTTCGCACAGTAGTAGGCAGTCTTTTGATCAAAGTTTTGAAAACATTTCATAGGTTTTGGTGGCAGGGAAGACATTCCCTCAAACGAGTTGTGCCGTGTGTGTTGTTTTTTAAAATCTAATATTGCATTCATTTTCTCGGAGTTGAGACTATTTGACATCTGATTCCCATAACCTAGTGTTGCTAGGGCACTAGCATAGGATTCTGAACCATCCAGGGAGAGATTCCGTTTGTGATTCAGCAAGTTCTGCTGTTGCTTCAGAGTAAGTATCTGTTGATGCTGGTGATGTGGCATATAAGTGTGACTTCCTTCGGTATGAATCATTCTTTCTCGATGAGGTGACTGCACCGGTGATTGTAAAGAATTCATAGGAGAAATCTTCGGTGAAATTCTTCGGGATGCCGGACTAAGTGGACTTGAGTGCGAAGAATTCTGCCGCGAAGAGTTGCGTAACGAGTTCCGCCTATGCAGGTTTTGTAGAGTAGATATTGCCGCAGCAGTCTTTTGAAGATACATTTCGGTTTCATTCGTAGATAGATCCTGAAATAGTAAGAATAATGGTCATTAGTTTTATGTGTATATTCAAGTATATTGTAATTATTGTAGGAATTTTAATTGCTCTTCATTTATCATCAATCAATCTATGACTCTTTTTCCGTAAATTCACATATGGTGAGATCTGAATCTTCTTACAAATATAAAATTTGATATATCGAATCATGATATTTGACTTTAGTCAGGCACTCAATCCGCGAATGATCTTGAATCTTCATGTGATTTAATGTGATGGTTTTTGACTTGAGGCATATTTTAGCCACCTCCTCGGGGGTCCCCGGAATATGTCCCAGTGTGGCAAATGCATTTCCTGAGCACTCATTAAAAATCCTATTGATATTATTTTTGAATTCTCATGTGATTTGAGTTGTGATGTGTGGTACCGGGATAGGCCCGTTTTTTTTGGTAAATATCACGGTCCGTACTCACCGGCACATGTTCCGGCCATATCTCCACAACTAGTCGACCGGTTCCAAAAATATTCAATGGCGTTATATGGGACCATGCTACCTCTTATTTGGCGGTTGATGCATTCGATTTGGTACATTGCAAAGTAGTGCCAAGGGCAGGGTTCGCATGTTCAATTTTTCGCACATTTGTTAATAACTCTGCACTCACTTGACGAAACAGGTTTTTTTCTTGAAGCAACTGATATAAAAGAGTTTTATGATCTTATAAGTACGTAAAACACAGTAGATTTGTATTTGAACGAAAATCTATTATCAGTGACAGTAGTACCAAAAACTAAAAGAGAAAAATCACTGCTCATTTCGGACTCAATAAAATGTTGTGATTTCACTGGGTTTTTATTAAGTCTATGAAAGAAACCAGAGAATTCCAGGCTATTTCTGAGCAAAATTAATTGATTTTTAGATGGTTATACTAAGAGATTTCTGATTAATATTTCAAAGAAATATTAAAGAGAAAAAATTGAGTTCTTGCGATATTTATTAAGAATTGGACGAGAAACAATTTTCTACGTGCTACCTGGAGAGAATTGCAAAATCGGTATTGAGAAAAAGCAAAGGGAACGTTACAGAGAATCTCAGGATTTTTCTTGACAAATTTTCACAAGCGCAAAAAGTTCCAACAACATTATTAATCTAATACAATCATCGGAAAAAAATTATCAAAAACGGACCCCAAAAAAATCTTAATGGTTTTGGGACGTGAATTTTTTTTTTTGCGTTCTGAAACTGATACTTACTAACTTGGAAAACTTTTCGATACGCTGGACAAGAAATTTTTTTCAAGATTCTGACACCAGTAACAGTCTAAGTCCGGCAATTTGCGATCCTAAAAAATCAGTAGTTTGAGACTGAAATGTTAAGGATTCTGATAATAAAAAAGGGGTTTAGTATGAGAATCAGTTGTCGATCAAGTCATCGGTGTACAACCAAGACTGTTAATCACAGCAATACAAGCTTTTCTAAAGTAGCGGAGATATCATTTTTTGTGTCATTCTTAACTCAACATATAAATACCAGACGTTAAATAAAATCTGGCTTTCGATAAATACGGATCTCAATATAATCGGACACTTCGCTCCCAGGAATATTTTTTCGCGAAATTAGAATTAATTTTTTTCTCATTATTTACAAGGTTTTCAGCCAGGGGCATGTTCATCATCAGAATTAGAAAAAAAATAAAGAATACCTGACATGTAGACATGTTGACAATCGTTAGCACCCCTCCTTCCCTCCCGCTTCATTGTGGAACCATTGGTGCGTCTGCTTGTCTAAAATTAGTAAGATTGACGCGATGTAGTGTTCCAAATAAAATAAATTCCAAGAAAATGATTGATTATCAAACACCAACTCCACCCATTGCCCAAAAAAATCATCCGCTGGACAGAATGCACAGCCACATCACGATAGAATGGTTCCGTTAGTCACCGCCAGAGGCTTCTGAAACAATCGTCTGTATAGCCATTGAGTAAGGAGGCGATATCTCATCTATTTTACATTTTGTTGTCTCTTTCTGGATTCAGCCTCTTTACCATTAAAAGTTGCCATGATGGGGCGAATTTATATGGTGCATGGTCATAGTTTGAGCAGTTGAATCGCCATTATTGCTATATATCAATTGCCTGGTAAATTTCGAATATGAAGGTTCAAACAAAGCACTGCTTAAGTCAAGTATAAAAACAAAATCTATGTGCTGTTATTTTTTCCCTTGATTTGTTTTCCGTGAGCACTAATGCTACTGACACCAGGGAGGCTCCCACACCTGGACCCTAACCTATCGACCCATCAACTCATGAACCGGGGACCAACGGCTTTACTTCCCTTCCGAAGGAAGGCGTGATCAGAGATGTTATGCCTCAGAACATCCCGGTGGCACCGACTGGGATAGAACCCAGACCTGCTGGGTGAGAGGTTATCACACTCACCACTACACCACCGGTGCCACTGTATATGCTGTTAGAAAAACATTGGTTGTAAAACATAAGCTGTAAGAAAAACTGTGCAAGAAGTAACCAAAATAAGTAGAATAAGCAAAAGGAGGTCTACACACATGGAAATGATTACCGACTTCAACAGCTGAACTGTTCGGAAAAATCAGACATCTTAATTTATTAGTTTTACACCTACAAAACAAGGAAACTTCACCGCAATGGCAAAACTCGATTAATTAAACAAAACTGACAGTGATTTGAAATTAAAATTTAGTGAAACAGCTCTTGAAATGAGGGTTAAAGTTTTACCAAACGTTCAGTTGTTTAAAGTTCAGTAAAAAATTACCGAAGTTATTAATAATTTCTAATGTGTAGGTAAGGGGCTGTTCATAAACTACGTAGACAGTTTTTTTGGATTATTGACCCCCCCCCCTCCCCCTGCGTAGACAATTGTCCATACAAATAATTTAAAATTTGTATGGGCCGTGGATAATTATCAACCCCCCCCCCCCTAAAACGTCTACGTAGTTTATGAACAGCCCCTAAACACATGGCCATCGCGAAAATTATCAAAATAAGCGACAGGACGAACCAAGTGGATCGTTCAGTTTTTTCTGGAGGCTTTTCCGAATACTGAAAAAATGTCCCAGAAGTATCAATGTATTAGTCTCAGTAATTATGACCCATGATCAAATATAAATCTAGCGTTCAGAATCATAAGGGCCTAACTGTAATGTTGGATTCTCTTTATCGATTTTCGCTTTGAGTTACTACAGTAAGTGAACCAATTTTCTGCAATACTGTAGAAAGCTGTATTGGCTTGTAAAATCAACATCAAACGCACCGAGAAATGTTAATTATGATGAACAAAACAGGAAATCGATTAAGAGAATCGATCGTTTCAGATAGGCCCTTATTATTCTGGACGCTAGAAATGGAATAAAATGTGCAAAAAAACTATGTGAAAATTACATTTACAACGCGCTAAGGTGCTGCCGTAACTGGTACACAGACCCTATTACAAATTTGTCTACATTGGTCCCACCGATACTCCAATAAATTAGGAATCAACAGTTTCGCGTATAAGAGAGGAAACCGTAAAAACATTTTAACATCACACATTTCTTTATTTGCCACAAAAGTTAAGTCAACAAGTCATCTAACAATATCTGTTTATTTTAGCATTGTTTTACTATCCACTTCGCATTCCATTTGTTTCAATGGTGAACGCGAAATTGTGGGCACTGATGGTAAAGCGTATTGTGCACAATATGTTATCAGATCGCATCACATGTGGCTAAAGCAAAAGCTAATAGGTAGGCATCAGGTAGGTAAGGTTCGTTCAAAAGAAAAGTGAAAACTTATGGCGAATGGCCGTGCAGACACAGCGTCTGCTAAACCAAGTGTAGCAGCAGCGAACAAGGGAGGAAAATATTTAACAAAACAACATTGATGTTATGTTGTACGTTGGAGATGATTTCAGCTTCAGCCGAAAAAGGTTGACGTGATGTGTGAAGATTTGGGAGGTTTTGTAACGTGATAATAGGGTGTAACACTTTCCAATTCTTACTCTATGTATGGGACTGGTATTTATTATATAGAGATCAACGCTGTTAATCAATAACATCATTCGATGAATGGTCAGCAAATTTACAAAACATCTCTTATTTTAACATTTTATCAGTATCCTAGATGGTTACAACTTGAATGTATTATGCTACTCTTATTCATATTGATGCCCCACTTTCCATCAGATTTACATAGAACATTGGACATTACATGAAACTTAGCCTGTAATAAGTGTATTCATTCACACCTAAAATTAACTTTCTGATGTATCTGACATGTATGCTTGTTTAAATGTCTAACTTTTTATTTTCGAAGCAGGGACAGTTACGGATCGAGTTTTATTATTATATCATTTTTTTTATTTTGCATTCGCATTTCCAACTCAATAATTTTCAATACAACATTGCTTGTTGGGATTTCTTTTAAGTATCGGACAAATTAGGCTGCAGGATCTCATATTGTTATAAAATTTTGCCCATATGTAGAGTTTATAGGAAGGAACACCCACTAATCTTTCAATACTACGGAGCCTGCTGACCAAATATTTAAAATCTTGCCATTACTGAAGTAATTACTTTAAATCCACTTTTAATTTCATTAAATTCTTTAATTACTGACAAAATTTGATAATTTAATTATTTTCAGTAAATTTAAATTATTTTTCATTACATAATTATCGTTAATTATTTGTTGATTACTTTCAATAATCCTAAAAGTATTTAAATGCAAATTATTATTGTCTTCAAAGTATTTAAATTACTACGATGTATTTTGAAAATCACGCACTCATACCTGGAATTGCGCGCCCTTCGGTTTATAGTTTTAGGGGAGTTGTACCAGTTATGGCAAAACTAAAAAAATATACGACTTGTGGCAAGACCCAGCTACGGAGTTTAAATGGATTAGTGCCATAACTGGTACCATTTCGTATATGGTAAAGTTACTGATACACCTACCCTATGAACGAAAAAAATAGTAAAAAATGGGGGTGGCCAATTTTTCAGGAAAACTTTAGTCG